TTAATTGCTTTCGGTGGGCGTGGGTGGGTGGGAGCCTTGAGCCGGGACCCACCGTGGATTTTGCCTTGGGAGGTGGGGGGAGGGGGACGGGACACGGTCCTTTTACTTGTGGCTTTCTTTCTATTTCCAGTTTAGTCATCAAAGAAGAGAGAGAGTCTGAAATAAAACAGAATCTGAAATTCCAGCAATAAGAAATATGAACGGAAGAATTGGAACGGAAGACCTTAAGTGCTTGCTTTTTGCTGTCGACCAGATAACTCCTCGAACTCTCTGCATTAATCTATGCAGCACGGGATTTCTATTATTTTTACCTATAAAGCTGTCTCCTCCTTTTGGGAGCGACAAACATGTTTTTTAAAAGGCCTGTTTTTTCTCAATACACCTTTAAAGGTTTTTAAATTGTTTCATATATCTGGTCAAGTTGGGATTTTTAAGAACCTCATTTTTAATTTGTATGAATACACCTGATTTTTTCACGTCAAACTGCAAGCATCTCTTAAATAAAGGTCTTAAGAATTGCTCAGTGTGGTCTGGCTGTGAGTGATTCCATGCCGGCCAATCCAGGGCAGGGCCGATGGACGAGAAATTGTAAACACAGAAACTTCTGGATTGTTGCAGGGGAATCCTGGGAAATCCCTGGGCCGAACCTCTTTGTTTAGGACTTGGCAACTGAGTTCTGGGGTGAGGAGATGAACTTCCCAGGGAGAAGCTGCTCGGGGGGGGGGGGGGACCTGGAAAGTCAGCCCAGTGTCCCCAGGAAAGAGCAAACCGGCAGAGGGATTTGGGGATTTGGCAGAAGTCTTTCGGCAGCCCTTCTCAACTACCAGCAGGTCCCAGGCTTCCAGGGATTCTCCTCAGATTCAGGGGTGTTCTGTTGTGTTCTGCCATTCGATGTATTTTGTGCCTCCAACTGGGGATTTTGAGTATTTGGCCGCTCAGCATGGCAGGAAACAGTACTTGCATTTTCAGCCATTGGTCAGGGACCCTGAGTGTGCAGATGGTACGTCCTCCTCTTAAACAACTAGATTTGTAGCATTTGCACTCTGCTTTTAAGCAGGTTTTGTTGAATTCCACCTGGAGTTTAATATTCTCAGCTAGGAACGCTGTGCTTCCCGCAGGAGGCTTTAGGGGTGCAGTCGAGGGCTTCGGAGGACAGATGCTGTGTTTAGATCAGTTCAGATGCGGAGGTTTCATTGGTAGCTGGGGTCATCTGGTGCTTGAGATAAAAGTGTTGACACTCCGGTGGAAGCATGCAGACCATCTTCCCAGAGCAGGCTTGCCTGCGTTTGCAGATTATACTTGCCGTTTCAGAAAAGCTGAGGACTAGGGAGTTGAGAGTTGAATGGAAACGGGAGCGCCCTCCCTGCAGAGGAAAGGAGCGAGTGGTGTGTGGCAAGGGAAATCGTGTCTCCCAAGCAGGCAGGCAAAAGCAGCTTCCTTTTTCCTACAGGAAGTGATGTTTGGTAACTCAGAGCTGCCCCTACGAAAGTCAAGGAAACAGACTTTTTCTGCTTGTAGCAGCCTTGGGAGCATCTGAAATGTGTAAGGCGCTCCCCCCCCCCCCAAAAAAAAAAAACCGATAAGGTTTTTTTTCCTTCCTTCC